CCTTCTCCCCCCCCCCCCCCCCCCTAAAAATTATATTACTTTTTGTTTAAAAAAAAAAGATCTTTCCCATTAATAGGTAACAGGTTAGTTAAGCTCTGGAATAGATCATATTGAGCTAACCTTGTCTTTGAGGAGGGAGGGGATTAGATGATGTTGGTGTCCTGGTTTCAGCTGGGATAGAGTTAATTTTCTTTCTAGTAGCTGGTACAGTGCTATGTTTTGGGTTCAGTATGAGAAGAATGTTGATAACACACTGATGTTTTCAGTTGTTGCTAAGTAGTGTTTAGACTAAGTCAAGGATTTTTCAGCTTCTGATGCCCAGCCAGCGAGAAAGCTGGAGGGGCACAAGAAGTTGGGAGGGGACACAGCCAGGACAGCTGACCCAAACTGGCCAATGGGGTATTCCAGACCATGTGATGTCATGTCCAGTATATAAACTGGGGGAGTTGGCTGGGGCAGGGCCAGATCACTGCTCGGGAACTAACTGGGCATCAGTCAGCGAATGGTGAGCAATTGCATTGTGCATCACTTGTTTTGTATATTCCAATTCTTTTATCATTATTATTGTCATTATTGTTATTATCATCATTATTAGTTTCCTCCTTTCTGTTCTATTAAACTGTCCTTGTCTCAACCTATGAGTTTTACTTTTTTCCTTCCGATTCTCTCCCCCATCCCACTGGGTGGGAGGGAGGGAGGGCTGCGTGGTGCCCAGTTGCTGACTGGGGTTAAACCACGACAGTCGACGACATCAAGATTGGAGGCAGCCTGGGCTGCGGGGATGATGCACTGGAGGAGTTCGCGGTCCTGAGTGTTAAGGGTCAGGTGAAGAGCAAAGTCAAGACCCTGAATTTTAGGAAAGCAAACTTCCAGCTCTCCAAGGAATTAGTCAATAGGAGCCCCTGGGAAGCTGCCCCGAGGGACAAGGGAACAGAACAGAGCTGGCAGATTTTTAAGGATGCTTTCCACAGACTGCAAGAGCTTAAAAATCAGGAAAAGAAGGCAAGAAACTGGCGTGGCTGAGTCAAGACCTGCTGGTCTGACTAAAGGGCAAGAAAGAAATGCACAGGCAGTGGAAGCAGGGACAGGTATCCCAGGAAGACTATAGGGACGCTGCCTGATTTTGTAGGGATGGAGTCAGGAAGGCATATCTCTGAGCACTGCATCCAAAACATGCAGGGAGAGAGAGAAAAGTGGTATGTTATGTCACCATGTGTCAGCACATCGTAGCTTGAGGGTGTGTAGGGGGTGTAAGTTACAAGTCACTGAAAAGGAGGGTTTGTAATGGAAATTCGGACAGGTGCTGTCTTGAGCAACAGGCCTCCCGCAGTTATTTCAGAAGATAACTATACATCAGCCATCTGCTGATGCGCAATAAATAACATAAAAGTATTTTGCCTACGGGATGCAAGCATCACTGATAACTGAGGAGTGAAAACTTTTGGTTGAGTGTATATCCTGTGCAAAGGATGACCAAAATTGGCTTGACAATTAGGCTCACAAGTAGTCAACAAAAATTGATTGCAAAGTCATGGAGAATTGAGGGAAAAAAAACCCAACACACCCCAAAACACCCACCAAACTGAAAGAGGGAAAAATATTACCTTACCTATGCTAGACACAAACCCTACTGGATGCTGACATGTTGGTTTTTCTATTATCACTAAACACGGATGGCTCAGTATGTGCCATTGTACCCACCGAGTCAATACTGAAAAAATATCACAGCAGTAAAGATTATATTTAATTATACTGGCTATAATTAAAGCACATAGAATTACAGCAGTAATTATATTTTTATACCTGATAATTTAAAGAGGGACTTATCTTTCCCCGTTCAAAAATTAGTTGCCTAGTTTAAGTGAATTGCCCTTAGTACTTGCTGGATAAAGAGAGGTATCTCCAAGGTATGATTCACTTCATGTCTCTTGGAATAACATAATTTGCCTTCTGTGGGTCTCTTTCTCTCCACTGACTACAGATGGAGTCTAGAGGATTCATACAGAGAAAAATCTCAAGTTTCATATGGGTAAATTTAGATGATCATCCTTAAATTCCTTTCCATTTCACAAGAGCATTGGCACTTGCTTCAGTGTCTGGATGAGTTCAGACAGATGGATTTAAAGGTGGGGATTTCAGTGTTTCTGGAGCTGTGTATGGAACACTTACTGTCACCCACAAATTGTGCTCTGTGTGTGGTAACACAGAGAAGGTGGATTCTGGACTCAAGACTGTAAATGAATTATTCATTGGTAAAATAATTTTAGGGAAAAGGGATCCTGGGGGACAATGATGAACTTGTTCCTCAATGGACAGTGCTAATTAAGTGATCTGCAGTAGCCTAGATGGGTGCTGGGAGGAGATGGACAATACTGTGTTAAGTATCAGCAAAAGCTTGTTGTTAGATAACATTGGTGGGAGGACTTAGGCACTCTCAGTCATCTAGCTGGGAAGATAATTTCATGGAATCATGAAAAAAATAAAAAAGGAATTCAAGATAACACCTAATCTATATATCTGCCATGAACAATTAGCTATTTCCTCCTGTCTACACACTTTTATTTTTACCAGGCAAATTTTCATGCATTTCAAAGGTTAAAAAAATTGAGAAAGGACAAAGAGGTTTTTGGTATCATGCAAACTGTAGCTTGCACGGAGACTCTTACCATTAAAAAGCACTAGGTAATATTAATAACTATGTCAAATAGTTAGTATTACCACTACTAAGATAGGTTCTCCTTTTAACAGCAATTCATTTGGGAGCAGCGGCTGGGTTGTATAAGGATTGAAGTGGGGTCTAACAGGATTTGGTTACCAACGACGGTGAGTGCATGGGACTTTTGGTCCGAGCTTAAAGTGGTAACAGAAAGAGAGAAAAGAGAAAATGCACCAGCCTAGCTGACCATCTGCAGTGTTTTTTGCAAGACAAGGGACAATTTTGTTAGGCAGCAATGCATGCTGGAAGCAGAAACAGCCCAATTTCCAATTTTTCATATGCTTGTTTGGTTGCTGATGCCAACTGCAAGGGGCAGAAGGATGGTGAGGTCTCATTTCTACAGACCACAAAAAGGCAGGAATCTTTAATGGACTCCCAACATGAGAACTCCTCACATTGGTCATCTCATGCCTATGTTCTCCTTAAGCATGAGCAGAATGCACTCTGAGTTTTAGTCTTTTCTAAAATAGGTTTGAATTGTGATGATTAGTTATTGAAGACCCAAACAGAGTTTCAGGTCTCATTGATTTCAGTGGAGACCCAAGGGCAGAACATCCCCTTTAGCAATTAAAGTTGGTGATATTTTCATCTTGTACAGTCTGTGAAGGCTTTTTTCACACATTCCCTCGTACCCCTGCACATGTGCGCGCGCACACACACACACACATATCTACACACAAACATCCTGGCTTTCTACAGTATTTTTTAAACTGAAGCCCAAATCCAGACTACTGTAGTTTTAGATTTCCCTTTATACTGAGTATGTGAATGAGGTTTTACATTCATGCTGGCCATGCAGCTTTATCAGACAGAAGCAAAGAACAAAGAGGAAATACTTTACCGTCTTCAGAGATGATAAATCTGAACAGTGCAGGACACTTGACAAACACAATTTCACCCACACTTGCAGGTTTCCAACATGTAATATTGTCCCACATTCCTGGGCAACCTATAGAAAAGAAGGAGGGATAAAATACATTAGTGGTGGAAACCCATTCCTTTCTTCACGCTGTTATTGTGGTTTATAGTTGTTTTTTTCTTCTACCCATGAACATGTGCTCGTTTAGAATAATACACAGTATCATTTTCTAATAAGCTTTCCCTGGAATAAAAAAAATTTCATTCATAGGAATAGCATAAAATGTAGTTGCATGGCACAATAGTGGCCAGACTCTACCCTCACAGAAGATGACATTTCTTAGTCCCAGTTAAATCACTCCAACATATACCAGAAACTAATTTTCCCTTGAGCATGAAATCTGCTGCCATTTAGCTATCTTTCAGTAGTGCCGGGTTAAAACTTTTTTGTTTATGGTTCACATCTTTGATTTAAGTTCTATAAATTTCTGTTGGCTCTAATCCTTGTCAAAGGATGGGTATTGGCACATTTTGGAATTTGACACAGGGAGATGACTGGAAACTGAAAAACAGGTTCTGCTTCATCCTACAGCTAGTTTTGTGGATATGTGAGGGAGGGAAGCTCACCTCTTTCATGCTGGATTTTTTTCTTAAAAAAATATTGGGAGTGGAAATGTCCCTCCTTAGTAAAGAACTGTTGTAATATCATTCACTATCTTTGCTGCATGCTTTAGTCCGGAGAATATAAACTCACAATGCCAAAAGGATGATTTTGACCCCTAATGATTACTTTGCATAAGCTGAAGACAGAATCAGGCATTTAACCAACTGTTCAGAGATTAGACTTCAAGTAACAAGCTTGGAACTAAAGATCTAAGCGGTAAAGGACCAACCTCCTGTCACATGCATGTCGAAAGAGGAGGTGATGAGATTGTGGATGGGAGTTGTCTTCTCTTAGGATATAGGAAAAATTCAGGTCCCATGTGCTATTGTAAGTACAAAAAAAGGAGCCCAGCCCCTGCTTCTCTCTGATCACTGTGTCAGAGACATGACAAACTATGACTGGCTTCCAAGAAGCATAATAGCCCTCCTGTAATTCTGTAAACCACTACCTTACTAGCTCATAAACCTAGAAGACTTACCCAGTGTACAGGAGAACTCAGAGCAATCTCTTGAATTTCCTATTAATGTTTTAAAAAATGACTTAGTGAAAGAATCTCGAAGGGGAATGATCTTCTACCTCAGCAGGAAAAGAAAGAAAACCTAACTATAAACATCTCCACTACTTATTTGCATTCGATGTTGAGATCAAGCATATCATTTTATCAACTATTAAAAGCTGCAAGTTACATGATTTTCTAAGTGGTTTTCCATTAATATGCTCTCTTTGACTATGTGCCAAGAAAAATAAGATCTTCAGTAAAAACAGATAATACTTCAAAGTGTTATACTTTCAGACTGGCACAAGTACAATATGATGAGGTATGGGTTATCAACTTGTAAAAACAGTGTAAAAACAGCTTTATCAACTTTGGTGATAGTAGCAGATTTCCATCAGTGGAGAATGCATGCTCACAGGGCTGGAATTAGTGTATTTTTTTCCATCAGCTTCAGGGGCAAGGAATCAAACCCTATCTTCTCCTCACAAAAATACAAGCCAGATACTACCATGTGTGGTGGATAGGGCAGTTCTGAGTGATAAAGTGTTTGAAGAATTAGGTCAGTGTCAAACAACACTATTACGATGCTACAATGATGGCATATGCTAAGCAGTTGATAATCATTCTTTCAAATCAAAGGATATATCATCAGATTACATAACATAAATTAATAACCATGTAAAATCCTGACTCTATTAGATAAAAATCCCTCAGCTTTGCCAGACCCACCAAAATACTATATTACTGCAAAAATGGTTATTAAATCGTCATGGAAAAAAAGAATCCTTTTCATTTCCCCCTCCTCCTCTCTTTTTTTCACTCCTATGCCAGGTTGTTTCCTTTACTAGATGAGGATATCTTTGTATGAGTGCTGTGATTCACTAGAACATCTCCAAAAGGGTCAAGGGCTGGGGTTTGAAAAGTTTTGTGATATGGTTAGCGTACTGAAGATGGAAATCAAGATCACATTGAGCACTATTAGATTTTATTGTCTTTGATAGCTAGTGTCTGTCCACGCAGTAGGGACTGTGTTTACCATGTAACTCTGAAGACATGTAGTAATGGGTTTGTAGTTCACTGATGTATGGCACTCTGTACAAAAGTAAAGGATACGGTAATGAGATATTTGCTTACAAGAGGTGTTAGAGACAGTCAAAGTGGCTAATGAGATCTTCTGAGAACCACCTGCTAGCCTTGCTTGCTCAAATTAAATGATTTTGATAGGAATAGGGAAAGCTTTCTTATGTCTTCAATATCAGTTGTCTTCCAAATGCTGGGATAGCAACAGATACTGCAAACCAACCTAGAGAAATGCAAGGAAATCCCCATACTGCAGAAAAGAAAATGTAGACACGGAATAAATATTGCATAGCACTGTGTATCAAATTCAGTTATACCAGGTGGCTGTTTTTGTGGTAATACCATGCAGAGCTAAAAAATAGCTCCATTTAAAAAGACACTATAAATTCATTGTGCTAGAAAGCACTGATGTGCTGACATTGGAAGAGAGGGAGAGAGAGGCATAGAGTGAAGTGATTTGCCTTAGTTACTAAAATAGGTGAGTGATTGAGATTGGAAAGAACACTACCGCTGGGAATGTTGCCTGATCCTGCCTGGAAAAGCATATTTGAAACAAACAATTTAGAAGAGCAAAGAAAAGGATGACAAAAAATTTAAATGGAATAAAGGACAGCGTGCACAATCCCCTTACATTTGTAAACCACGATACAGCCAGCAACTCCTGCTGGGTGAAATCTGCCCACGGAAATCAATGTGACTTGAGTGTGAAACTGCACAGCGGTGGTCTCCTCTGGCACTGACGGTATGTCTCCATTCCGTGTCACGTAGGGATGCCCAAACTAGTTTTGAAAGAGGTAGCTCAGATACTGCAAGCAGCAAGGTGCAGCTTCAAGTAGGCAAATTTTCCTGCTTCTTAACATGTTAGAAATCAGTAACAACAAGAAATGGTTTTAAAGAGCAAGTTTTCATGTGGGCTGGCGTGGGGAAAAAAAAAAAAGGGGGTCTTGCTAATGGGTGGTCTTGAAAACAAGGCACTGTGGAGAAAGCACAAATCCTGCCTTTCTTTCCCAAGTCTGCACTGCAACCTGCAGACTGAAATTCATGTTTGGTAAACATTGTGGGTTTCATCTTAGCTAACATAAGTGGTGTAACACTTGGCATCTGGTCTTGAGTAAGTACTTATGTCCTCTTCATAGCGTGGGCAGAAGAGTGCTTCATCTTATTCAGCAGTTACCTGTTCTTCGGTGGGATGGATGATCCTTTGGGAGCCCCCTTCCTTGTCACTGACTTTTGAGGAAACACAAAGTGATCATTCAAATATAGGATTAGTCAGGATTGGTTTAACTTCAGATACCTAAGACTTACCCTTTTTAGCCTATACAGCTAAGTAAAGTTGCCTCTCTAGTTCATGGAGAGAGACTTTCCAGATAAAGAAAATCCCATTTTAAGGTGGTGAATCACCCTGTGAAATCTACTTCCATCTCTCCACTGGCTACACTCAGTAGAATAAGACTAAGAACTAGCTTAGCCCAGCCAGCTGCTTATTAAATGGTTGAAGCTTGTATTGCCCATAGGGTCTATGTGGTGTTTTGGAGTAGAGCTGAACCAGCTCTCCCCTCTGGGCAGAGGGCTAACCAGTGGCTATGGAGCCTCCCTTAGCCATTTTCCGATCCTGAGCGGAGGAGTCCAGCTGAGGGTTGGGACGTGTTACTGCAGGCTGTGGACAATGTCAGTATACCTGTGTAGCTCCTGAGCAATTCAAACCACAGGCAAACCACAGTGGTTGCTTATGAAAATCCCTTACGTGATCAATCCCTACATCTCTGTGTCAAGCTTCTTCATGTAAAAGTGAGATAAATCTCGTGTTTGGACTGTAAGCTTCCTGTGGCTGGATCCACCTTGTACTGTTCTTGTGAAATGTACTTCAAAAAACAGACTCCTGATTTCAGCTGAAGCGCAACACGGAATTTTTATGAATTTCATATGAAGCCCACCACACCTAAGTTTAAATTTACCTCTGTTGAAGCTGACAGAGGTGCCTCATATACCTAAGGATGGATCTGAGTTGGCAGCCACTGAAAAAGAACAGCTCTTTCAGAGAAAGGCCGAATTTCATAACAAGGAGGAAACTATGGATATTTATCATTGCAGAATCTTCTGATGCATTTTTAAAATTATACCTAACAATAAAACCATTCTAGTCATTCTTCCTTCGTGAAGGTTCACACAAGCCTTGTTCCTGTCTTTTGCTTCAAATTAAGCCTCTCAGAGCACAACACTTTCTCTCTAACCTGCTAGTCCTGGCAGCTGAAAGGCTCCCCTCGTACCCGAAATGTCTGGACAAGCACCAAGAGAAAAAAAAAAACAACAAAAAAACAACCAAACCAAGCCATACTGGTAGAATAGCAGTGATAAAGAGCAATTCTGAAATTGCTTACCTCCCCTATCTTTTTTTTTTCTCCTCTGTCCAGGGCTGTCTTGAGAGTCCCAGATCTGATAGTGGCTAGATATAAAACCAGATTTTAGGCAGCCCCATAGCTGAAGTTCACTGAGTTCAAGGAATGGACCTCACTTTAAATCCACAGAGAATAGCGCCTGTTATCTTCTATCAACATGGAGACACTGTGTCACCAGGACTATGTACAAACTCTTCTTTTTCTATGGATTTATATCCTATTTTCTCATAGTGCCTCTACTGCAATACCCTCATTTACACTCTCTGTACTTAAATCATCTTAACAGTACCCACAACATCCTCCCATGTCCTTCTCCTGTCCCTAGCGTAACACACCTCCTTCTCATCACTACTAACTTTTTGGCAAGGGAAGGTGCAAAAGCAGAGACGTGTTTTTTGGATGGCAAGACCCTGTGTACTAATTCACTGCTCACTCTTTCACTCTTCTTAACAAAA